ATACCTGTTTCAGCCCCTTAGGGCCTTCCTCAGTGGTCAATATCCCTATTGTATAATACATATCCTGAAATAAATGTATATATCTATATATCCCTTTGTACAGGTGTTGTACGCACAGTTTATGTGACACTGTTATGCACTCAGAGCTCTGTCTGCCTTAGTAGACTAACCTTAGTGGACTCAGTTAGCACCTATGACATACACAGACATACAGATATGTTAAGTGCCATTGATGATTCTAATTACAGAAACAGAAATCAACTATGAGCATATATTCAGATATTCACTTTGGTTCATTGCTTAAATGCATTCTGGGAAAAATACTAAATGCTGACAGGCAGTAACTGATTGCTTATGATCTTGCTTATAATGGCCAGTTGTAACTGTGCATGTCCCTGATGTCAGGAAGCTTGTGTTAGATGGAAACCATACTACACGATGTACCCATATCTGTTACATTAGATACTTTTTATCACTTCACAGCCTGAGAAGGAGAAGGCCCATTATTTAGCTGTAGGAGGTACATTTTTGCCTGTGAAAATCCAACCCACAGGTTCGGGCCCAATCAGAATGGTGTGACAGATATATGACAAAGTTTGATGGAACCAATAATTATGATTTATTTGCAAAGCGTCATAGTGGGTTTAAAATCCTATGTCTCCTATTGTAACCTTAGGGAGAGCTGTGGGATCCAAAATCTTGTTGAACCCGTGCTTCCCTCCTTTATTAATAAAGTTTTAGTTTTGATTCTACGCTACAGGACTGTGCCGAGTGCTTTCTCAAATTGGGCTGGGGAAGCGCAACCCATGAAGGAGTGTCTGTCTTACACAGGTAAGTGGAATGTAGTACTGGCAGCAGGGCCGGCTCACCCGCTAGGCGAACTAGGCATTCGCCTAGAGCATGGGCTGGCCCTGAGGGTGCCAAACCGGCTCCCCCCGCCAAAGCCCCCCAGCCCTCGCCAAAAGCCCTGTATCTCCCTGACTGCTGCCGCCGCCTCTTTCTCCCCGAGTCCGGCAAGGAGGGGATGGGCCGGCGGGCAGGCGTTCCATGGGACTTGGGGAGAAAGAGACTTGGGGAGAAAGAGGCGACGGGGGTGGTCAGGGAGATACAGGGCTTTTGGTGGGGGCGGGGCCGGGTGCAGTTTGGTGCCCCAGAACCAGCCAGTCAGTGCCAGCCTGCTGCCCCTTCCCGCCCAGTTACTTCCTCCGAAGACAGCCCTGACGGCTGCCACCCTCCCCCCCACCAAAAACAACTGCTCACAATCACAAAACTCGTGTCATGTCGCAGTGCTGGCACGCATGCTGCTCTGCTCATGTGCCTGCCGCTGCCATCCAGTCCAGATAGGGGCACTCCCTCCTGCCCTAACTCGCACATGGCGTGCCCATTGCTCCCCTGCGTGTGCCTAGCCCATCACTGATTCGCCGGAGAAGCCCCTTTGAGCCCAACCTCAGCTCAGACTGCTCCAGCCCTTCCTCTCGTCCGAGGGTAGCCGGGGTGTCTAGCCTGCCTTCTGGCTCAGGGGTCGGGAGGGAGGCGGTGGTGCTGGAAAAAGTCTGGGAGGATCTCTCCGCCCCAGGTGGAGGCGCAGCAGCAGCAGCTCCCCGTTCAGAGCAAGGAGCTCCTGCGGCCAGGCCAAGCCTGCCCCCCCTCCCCACGGGACAGGAGGCGGCTGCGCCCCGGAGGTGCCTCCCCTCTTCGGCTTGTCCCTGGGGCGCCAGGGGTCTTCCTGTGGCAGCAAAGCAGCCTGTCAGCATTGGCGCACCCACCAAGCCCCTGGAGCTCGGGAGTGAGGAAGGGAGGGGGGCCTGGCTGGCAGCCACAGCAGCACCGGGAGGGGTCTCACCAGGCTCTGACTCGACAGCAGCCCCCTCCCCCAGCTCAGAGGAAGCCCCGACTTCCATCCCTCCCCCCGCAAAACATCTTCACCCGTCAGCCTGGGCGGAGAGACCAGACCTCCCCCCAGCACAGCCCCCCCGCCAAAGGGTCCAGAGGGAGCAGCTCTCTCGGCACGCAGCAGCAGCCCGCCATGGTGGCTGAGGAGGGGATGGGCCGGCGGGCAGGCGTTCCATGGGAGCGGCGAGATGGGTCCCCAGACTAAGCATCCCTCCTAGGAGCGACCCCCCCAGCTCTTCCCCTCCAAGTGTCGCAGGCGCCCTCTGGGATTCCCTCCCCCCTGACCCTGAGCCGATCTCAGCCCAGCCTGTTAGGAGGAGCTGGCTCCCGCTGCCGCCACCGGGTTCTTGGCTCCCAGCCAGCACTCGCAAAAGCGAAAGCACCGCGGGCAGGGCCGGCCCGATGTTGTCCTGCGCTCTAGGCGAGCACAGATGCCAACCTCCCAGCGGGGCCTGGAGATGCGTTCTGGGCGGCGGGGGGGGGAGGAGGAAAGTGGGTGGTGTGTGTGGGGGTCTGGGTCTGTGCGGCCCCGGCCCTCCTCCCCCCCCACCGCCGGGCAGGAGAGGCAGAGAAAGAAGGTGGCGGGGAGGAGGAAAGTGCTGGAGAAGGGCTGAGAAAGGCGGTGGTGGCAGCGGGCAGGCAGGGAGGAGGAAAGTGGGTGGTGTGTGTGGGGGTCTGGGTCTGTGCGGCCCCGGCCCTCCTCCCCCCCCACCGCCGGGCAGGAGAGGCAGAGAAAGAAGGTGGCGGGGAGGAGGAAAGCGCTGGAGAAGGGCTGAGAAAGGCAGTGGAGGCAGTGGGCAGGCAGGGAGGAGGAAAGTGCCGGAGAAGGGGCCACTCCATGCCGGAGAAGGGGCCACTCCTACTCGCCCGCCGGCCACTGCCGCAGCCGGCAAACAGGAGAGGCCAAGAAAGGCGGCGGTGGGTGGGCGGAAAGCGCTGGAGAAGGGGCCACTCCCGCCTGCCCGCCGGCCGCTGCCCCCACCGGTGGATAGAAGAAGCCGAGAAAGGCGGCGTCCCCCCCCCCCCCCCCCCGCTGGGCAGGAGAGCCTGGTGCATGCGTGGGGTGGGGGGGCACCGATGCCGGCTCCACGGCAACCCCCCCCCGCTGCCTGCACCCCCCCAGCTTGCTTCCTTGTGCAGGTGGCAGCACCCCCCCAAGGCTCGGCCGCTCCCTGGAAGCCAGCCCGGGAGGGCCGAGCGCAGCTGACCAGAGACCGAGCGCCACTGCAGGTTGGCCGAGCCTTCCCAGCTGCAAGGAACAGCTGCCGGGCGGTGGGCTCTGGATGGGCCTGGCAGAGCTGTCGCTCGTCCTTAAGGCGGGAGAGGAGGGGGGAGGAAGAGGGCAGCCGGGCAGGAGAGGCCGAAAAGGGCAGCGGGGACGGCAGGGGGTGGGGGAGGAAAGCGCTGCGCCCTGCCCACCCCGCTGCCGCGTCCTCCTTCTACAGCCGGGCGGCAGAGCTCCTCTCAGCCCCGTTCCTCCCAGCTGCTGGCCAGGCGCGTTGGTGCCCCTGCCACTCCTCCCGCGCCCTACTGGCCGGCTCGTGCTCTAGGCGAAGGCCTAGTTCGCCTAGCGGGTGAGCCGGCCATGGCCGTGGGGGAACGCCGCAAGCCGAAGGGGAGCTTCCCTTTGTGGGAAAGTGGCGGGATCCGATGGGGAAGCCTCCCCCCCCTTTGGGTTGCAGATAGATCCAGATGGGGAGCCCCTGTTAAGTCTGTCCTGAGCAGTTGGGGAAAGCAAAAGTCCTCCAGTTGCACCTGAAAGACTCACACAGATTTTAGAACAAAGTTGGAGTCTGGTGGCACCTTAAAGAGCAACCAAGTTTTAGTCAAGGTAGGAGCTTTCCTGTGCGTGCACTCTTCTTCAGATACTGGGAAGTGGGCATGGCCACAAAAGCTTCTACCCAGAGGCTTTGTTGGTCTCTGACTTTGTTCTCCTGCTTCAGATGAACACAACTGCCCACCTGGATCTAACACAGATTTTTGTTAGTCCTTCAGGTACGACTGGACTCTCACTCCCTTCTCCCCCCTACAACCATTTGTAGTGATATTAAAAATGTTTAAATGCTATTGTAGCTGTCAAGTTTGGGGCTTCAAATGTCATGGCCCCACTGGTGGACCTCCTGATGGCACTGGTATTTCTGGCCACTGTGTGATACAGAATGTTGGACTGGATGGCCTTTGCCCTGATCCAACACTGTGTCTCTTATGTTCTTATGAGTCAGTGTGCTGTAGGGGTTTGATGTTTGTGGGGGAGGGGAGAAAGTAAGCCTGGCATATCACATCATAACCAAAGCCATTACTCATGTTTATTATCATTATTATTATTATTTCCTAAAATGCATTTATGTTTGAAAATTGGTGGGCGCAGGGGGGGGGAGGGGGGGGCGCCAAAAGGTAGCCTGCCTAGTGTGCAAAAAAACCTGGAGCCGGCCCTGACTGGCAGGACACTACAGACAAGGGCCTATCCTATTTAAATAAACTACACCTATTCCTCCTGTAAAAAATCCTGACGCTTCAAAGAAAGATTACAGATGGATTCAAAGACAGAAGACAGTCTTTCAGCTACGTGATTCTAGACAGTTTAGCCCATTTAAAAAATAATAATCCTTTGTGCTGTGCCCATAACGTAATTGGGAGACAACACAGGAAAAGCTTACATATCAAACTGTAAACCAAGGGACTACCTCGACTGCGTCCTGGACGAATTGCAGGTTTTGGGTCACTTTTGAAAGGCAGCCCTACCTACAGTAAAATAACCAGGACTGCCATTTAATCATAAAAATAGGACTGCCTACCAGGGCAAATTCTTACGTCGGATTTTATGAGCCTGCAGGCTAGTCCGCTGCAAGCAAGTATGCTGCAGCTAAACTAAGTACTATATGTCCCCGCATATGGAGGACTCTATTGAGTACAACCGAGAACCTGAAGTGTCTCTAGAAAACGATGCCACATTAACCCAATTCTGTGGCAGCCCGTCACTGACCGTTCCACCATCTGCTCACAAGATGGCGCTGCGGCCACGTCCTCCGCCTGACGCAGTTACATCTCAAACCGCATGCGCGCGAAAGCTGAGCAGGGCAGGGCCAACTCCTGACGCTACGCCGGAAGCGGAACTGTCGCGATTACAAAAGGTGGAGAGTGAATAGTAGAGGTTGTTGTCATTTTCCCTCCGCCTTGGATTAAGTCGGTAGGGTCATGGCGGCCTCGGGCCTTCCGCCGTTGCCCCCACAATTCAAGGCTGTGCAGCATATCCTGAGATCCGCGCAGGAGCTAGACAAGCGGGAGCCTGTAGTGGCCTATTACTGTAAGTGAGAGGTGTTTACGGCCCGTAGGGCCACGCCCACATCGAACTTCACAACCTCCCGAACCCCCGGCTGAATAAGGAGCTGGGCGGGGCCTCCTTCCCCCCTCGTTCTGTCTCCTCTTCCACGACCCTCGACGGTGCGCATGCTCAAGATCCCCCAAGAGTTACTTTCTAGGATTCCGGCGTGTGCTCAGAGGGGAGCCGTGGTGTTTGCAGTCATGAAGTTGCCGTAGGAGCTTTTGCTTCAGGCTTTATTTAACCTACCCCAGAGGATTGTTGTGAGAATAAAATAACAGAAAAGTCGCTTCGAGCTCCTTAAAGAAAGGGTTGGGGGAAATGAAGGCTAGGACAGCTGCTGTTATGTAGCTGACTGCGTGAGCCCAAAAATTCCTGGTTCAGATTTAGTCGTGGTCACAAACTCGTTAGGTGACTTTAGGCAAGTCTCTCTCATACACGCACCCTTGGACCTCATCTGCCAGATAAAGCTGGTCAAAGGACTGTTGGGAGGTTGTATGAAGCGCTTTCAGCGCACACAACACCTAGTATAGATTAGTTCTGCATTTTCAGTATATACTTGTGAGTAAAACTGTAATGTATTTGTGATTTTGTGCCCAGAATCTGGACAGATGTATGTGTTACAAAAGAGCAGAGTGTCATCTTGTATATCTAGTGTCCGGGTTTTGATCCTGTTGCTCAGTTGTCTTGCTCTAGAGCCGTGATGCTATTCTGTATGCCACTTTATCACTTGGACAATCCCTTTGCTCCGTACAACCCACTTCTCCCAGTTAGATGTTAGTTTAAAGTTGATATTCTGCTGTTTGTATTCTACACTGCTCCTATTTGCCAGTCATATAAGGGTTGCATGCAGAATTACCTGCTGTACGGAATATTCTGTGCCATGTGAAATAGATCATCTCTGGCAGTTGTTCTATCACTGTGAATTTTACTTCATACCACTGATCTTTCGCCTTTTGCATATGATTAAGGCCCAGTCATTCTTAACTCTATTACTCATGGTATTGCCTTGTAGCTTCTGATATCAATTTTCTTCTCTTCTTCCTCCTCCAATGCTTTCATTTTACTAGATGGGCTGTTTCATGCTGAGAGATGCAAGGACCTAGGGTAAAATGGTAGACTCTCCAATGGACATCTGAAATTGAATAATTGAAATTATAAGGGGAGAATACTTTTTAAGAACTATGATTAAATTAATATTGTTACATCCAGGCTATTTCAGATCTTGTAGAGTCACAGGCTTAAGAGACTATATGGAAAAGGGCTTAAAGATGTTGCTGAATATGGAGCATCCTAAGCTTTCCCTTAAAAATGAGTTCCTTTTGTTTTCTTGTGAACACTGAAGTCTGCATACTGTGGCTAGGAGGAGATAATTTGATTAATGCAATGGAGATGTTTTCTATTTTCAGCCTCTAGTTTACTTTTTCATATTTTCCGGTTACTTAAACTGGCCAACTAACCTGTAAAAAAGGTAAAGGTTCCCTTGCTCGAAAGCCAGTCGAATCCGACTTTAGGGTTGCGGTGCTCATCTCCTTTTCAAAGCCGAAGAGCCAGCGCTGTCCAAAGACGTTTCCGTGGTCATGTGGCCAGTATGACTAAACACCAAGGTGCACGGAACGCTGTTACCTTCCCAGCGAAGTAGTACCTATTTATCTACTTGCAATTTCTTGCTTTCGAACTGCTAACCTGTAAGCATTACTTTTCTTACATGAACGCATGAAGTTATGTTATAAAGAGTCAGGCCATTGGTCCGTTTAGTCCAGCATTGGTGGCTGTACAGGTTCTCATGTAGAGAATGGCCTTTCCGAACACTTGCTATCTGAGATCCTTTAATTTGGGACTTGAAACTTTCTGCACAGAAATCATAGTTACTTTTAGTGCATCTTTATGCTGCTTTTCTCCCCAGTGAGGAACCAAAGTGGTTTACAAAAAAAGAATATTAAAAAGGCAGTAAAACATAATATAAACAACAAACAAAATGTACAGATTATATCCTGCTGGTGTCTACTGTGTTAGTTTATCAAGCCAAGGTCCAAGAACCCGTAATGTCATGCCCTTCAGCTCACAACCTCACCCACGCTCAGCCTAAAGTACCTGTAGCAGGAGAGAGACAAACAGCCTGGAAGTTACAAGCTAGCAGCCATCTTCCCACAATTTCGCTGAATTAGGGCCTCGCATATTCTTAAAACAGTAAAGTAAGTTTAAGTTTCATAAGAGGATAAGTCTTGCATATTTGAAAAAACAAAACCCATTTCATCCCCTAAATGTTTATATGTATCTGTGTGTTTTCCCATGGCTTAAAGCTTTCTTTAATCATTATGCCCGCCCTGAGTTTCACAGCAGTTTGTAAGAGTGATGTATTCCTGATTCAGTTTCTTTGCCAGATTGATACAAGGACATTTTACACTTAGTGGCTGCTACAGAAGTTGTAGAACCTTCTTCCACTGGGTATTGAAGCTCAGCTTCAGTATCTCTCCTCTCTCCTTATATATAATTGAATAGTGGGTGCCAAAGTTCTAATTCTAAAATGCACTCCCTTAGTGTATGGCTGATGGCACTGCTCCTCAGCATATATCGCCACCAATCAGAAGGCAAAGCCTGGGTCCCGCCCACACCACAACTGTTGCGACAACCTGGTCTTTTGCATATGGAAGCTGATTGGACTTCAGTCCATTCCACACCTCAAACTCCCCCCCCCCCCGCAAGGCAGTTGGAATTTTCAGTTGCATAACATACCTCATAGGGGAGAGGAGAATGGGTAACAATGGTTACCACTCTCCAGGTGAGGGCTACAGATAACTCAAACATACAAATGCTCTTCAGGTAGCAGAGATCAGGCCCTCTGGAGAAAACAGTGGACTCTGTCATTAAACCCTGCTGAGGTCGCCACAGGAAACTGACACTGTTTGCCCAAAGCCAGAGCACTCTCCCAGAGCCTCTTTCTAGATCCCGTTGTCCGCAACGGGCATTATTTCTAGTATTTCATAATAGAGGATGGGCTACACCAGAAAGGAGGGTGGGTTTGGTGTAGTGGTTAAGTACGCAGACTCTAATCTGGGAGAACTGGGTTTGATTCCCCACTCCTCCACTTGCACCTGCTGGATGACCTTGGCCAAGCCATAGTTCTGTCAGACCTGTTCTCTCAAGAGCAGTTCTTGAAAGAGCTCTCTCAGCCCCACCTACCTCACAGGGTTTCTGTTGTAGGGGGGGGGGGTAAGGAAAGGAGTTTGTAAGCCACTCTGAGACTCCGAGTGAAGGGTGGAGTATGAATCTAATCTCTTTTTCTTCTTCTATACTGCAGTCTTGTGCTTTCTTTTTAAAATGTAGTCTGATAGTAATGTCAGCTGTCTGTGCCAGAAGCTATATGATTTTTTGTGAATTTTGTTTTGTTTTTTGGCCCCCCGAAGGGGAATTTTTTATTTTTTTGCATTTTCTACACACTACAATTATGGGATGGGGGAAGGGATACTCATACCCTAACACTAGTACTATGGGTAATTGGGTAAAGGAGATCTAATACATATATCTATTTGAAAGGGGAAGGAAGACTACCATTCTAATCTATTTTATCTACTGGATTTGGGGGAAGGGAGAAGTCTAATACATGTCACGATTGAAATAGTTGAAAAAATAATGCTTTTTAACCTAATATTACACGTTATATCAAGATTTGGTTCAATTATGATAATACACATTTAATAGTTTAACAGAATTACTGCCTTTAGTGCTATTGTCTTAGTTCTAGAGTCTTTTCTTCTTGCGTTTCTTCATTTTCTGGAGTTTGGGGGCAGCCACTCCTTTCTCTGATTCAGATGATTCCGGAAATTTTGAAGCTTGGAAAAAACCCCGGGTTTTTTCCAGTTTGTTTTGGGGGGAAATGGAAATTTTTGGAAAAATTGAAAAAAATGCTACATTAGCATTTCTTTTGTCTTTTCTAGATTGAAAGTCATTCTGTTACTTTAGGAACATAAAATATGACTATGGACATTTTTACTTGGCATGAAATTATCACAACTAGCATATTTGTTCTTGCATTGGAGGGTTCAGTTTGTAACCTAGGACTTGCTTGTCCTCAGTGCACAGAAATTAGATCAATCTGATACCACATATATATATTTTAGAAATGATTTGGAAAATATTTGAACACCTTGTCTTAAAATATTTTATTCATCATGTTAAAATAAAACGTTCCATAATCAATGTCTTTTCTTTTCTTTTTTCAATTTTTCCGAATTTTTCCGGGTTTTTTCCGGGCTTTCACATCTCTACTGATGACGTGGAATTTTGGCTTGTTGAATCCTGTGAGTAGGATTCTTCTTCCTCTTCTTCCTCCCCATCTGGTTTTAAATTCTTTTCCTTCTGCTTCTTTTTTGCATTGAACATTTGATCCATAGATTTTTTCCGCTTTTGGAACAGAGTCAATTTTATATTTTTTGTCCTGGTAATTGAAGCTCAGCCCTTCCGGGAATAGCTATCTGTATGGTATTCCCTTTTTTTGCAGAGTGAGAGTAAGCATCCTGTAGAGTTTCCTACATTTTCTAACTTCAAAAGGGATATCTTTCAAAAAATTTATGTCTTCATTCTTGGTTTTTAAGGATTTTCTCATTGTTGACTTTAGCACCAGTTCTCTGGTAGATTGTTTCGTGAATTTTAGATAGTTTCCCCTGAGAGTTTGTTTTTCTATATAAAGTCCGGATAAGTCCTATAAGCCACATCCATCTCTTTTATTAAATCTTCTTGTTTATGATCCATTAATGGGGCCAAGGCAACCACCAAAAGTTCTTTAAAATCCTCATTCTTCTCTTCGGCGGTCCCATGGAAATGTAAAACGTACATAGGTCTTTCCAGCTGGAGCTATAATAGTTGCGTTTTATCAGAGGATCTTTCCTTCTCTACTTCATCCACTCTTTTGTTAATGCTCTCAGTCTGTTTTTCCATCTTTTTCAATGTTTTCTCCGTTGCTGAGGTTCTTTTATTCATTTGAT